AGTACAACATAGCAAGTTGTATGTTCAAAATAATTTATTTTACTCTGTTTTATTTAGAATTAGAATGAATTGACCAATTATAAAATATAAAAATTAAATTATTATTTATGGTACCTCGAAAGTTTTTATTGGAAATTTAATTACAGTTATAAACTTTTTTAAATTGTAAATATTAAAACAATCATAATTGTTAGGTAAAGTGGATTATTGCAATGAAAATTTTGGTATGTTATATGTTTATAAGATAGAGACAATACGTTCAAATGTGGCATACTTTTAAGTACACAATTTTATGATATTAAAAAAATTTACTTCATTGATCATTTATAAGGTACCTAACTTGATTTTTAATTTTCTTTAATTTTCAACAGTGCTTATTTAACATATATTAATCAAGATTAAACATTTCAAAAGAACATTAATTAACTAATTTAAAACCTAAATATTTATTTAATATAATACTTTTCATACATAACATTTTTAACTTATAAATATTAAGTTTTGAAACTTACTTGTTCAGCATTACTACCCTCTGGATACTCAGCAACAAGTTCATCTGCTACTTCATTATAAGTAGTTACCATTTTACTGCGTACTTTTTCACATACACGCATAGCAAAATGACGTAAACCTTTTCCAGGTTTTTCATTTCGTCTTCGCTTACTAAAAAGATTAAAATATTTTTTATTATAAATACTTTAAGTTAAATTTAAATGAAAAATAAATATCCATTAAAAATGATCTATGTTTGAAACTATACTGTTTTTTTTATGTGTACACTTAATCTATAAATATTTATTAAAATAAAGCAATGGAGACATGGAATTTTCATAAGTCTATTACTTTAAATTAATAAACCCTAGTTTGAAACCTTATAACTTAATTCAAATTTCATAGTTATTGCTCAGTTAAAAATAAGTATTGTTAAATTTAAGAGATGAGAGTAAAACAAATAAGGCTTTACAAAATATATTCCAGCGATTTCACAATTCAATAAGTAGCAAAATTATAAAAATAACTATGGGTTAAATTAAAAAGTATTTAAACTTAGGAAAACCAAAATTTTTTCTAAAAAAAACAAACAATTTACTTATTATAAAGCTATCCTTAAAAGAGGTAATATAAATATAATAATTTGTTGTCATGAACAAAAAATATTTATTTTAACCTCTATTATTATTTTTTTATATTATTATAGTAATAATATACTTTTTTATGTAATAATCTTTTAAACAATTTTTCAAAAATCCATAGAAACTATTTTATACTAGTGCTAATATTATCTTTTTTTAATAAATGCATATAATATTTTTTAGTTTTACAGTAATCAGTAAATAATATACTTTTAATATATTTATTTATGGTCCCAAAAATTCTAGTTTGACAGAGTTCAGTGCATATATTTTTAGTAGGAAACAGTACATCTATACAAACTTTGTTTATCAAAAATTGTAAAAACTTATACTATTTATAAACATTAGTAACTTTACCATAAGGATAAAGATACACAGATTTTCCTCAATTAATTTAACAAATTGTATTTATAATTATATAAATAAAAGTTAGTTCTTAATATTGGTATTTTCTTAATTAACTTCAATTTACATAACAATGATTAATATTTTAAATCAAAATAGTTAACTAGTTAGTTGCTTTTTAACTAGACTAATAAATTATCCACAACAAATTTATAACTTAGATTTTCCTAGTTAATTTATAATTTTAATTAACTAGTTGTCATATAAAAATCAAATATTTTTTTTAAATTTTTTTTTTAGTTTAATCATTTTTTGAACAATTTTAAAAAAATTTCCTTGATTTAATAAAAACAAGAATGTAATTGCTATACACTCTAATAGAAGACATTTTTTTAATTATTTTTAAAATTAAATAAAAATATAAATACTTAATTTATTTAGGTTACAAAATTATAAAATAATTTAAAATTCAATAAAAAAGAAAATAATATCTCAAAAATCAAAATTGTCAAAATAAGTAAGAAGCTAAAATTTAAAGTCATTATTACATAATTTGAGCTTTATGTTAAAAAGGCTGTCTTACATTAAGTTAAAAAAAAAGTTCAATTTTCTAATATAATGTTATAAGTTATAACTCAATTAGTAACATAAGAGGAAAAACTTGGAAGTTAATACATATGGGAAACTAAGGATATTAAATTCAAATTTACACAGACAATAGATAACAATCATCTAAACAATCAAACATTAATGTCAATAACCATAAATTATAAATTTAAAAGATAATAGATATACCACACATATTTATTTAAAAATAAAATTACCCATAATTGGTAAACATTAATTTATATCGTTTTACAAGTTATTTAGCTAGTTCATTTTTAAAAAATACTTATAATAATAAAAAAGAACCATAACCTATATCAAAACTTTATTTAATCAACAAAAGTATGTTTTTAATACCTACATATTTAATTTATAGTTAATAAATATAAGGTAATTACAATAACTTTAAGTATACATCTTAGATATATGTATGTATTATTTACCTATTATTTGACTCAATCAACTAAAAATTGTTTTAAGAAGTGAGTATTTGTAACAGTAAAAATGACTATTCAAAACTTTTAAAATTAAACCTTTCATTGTTCAAAAATAAACATCGTTCAAAAGTTAAATTTACCAATATTTTTATAATTCATTAAACATAAAATAATTCCTGAAATATTGTCTAAAAGTAAAAATTATTAATACTAGTAAAGATAATTTAGAATGTAGATGTATATAAACTTTGAAATTTTGTAAGACAAAACTGGTGACGAATTCCAAAATAATAGGAATAACATTCCCATTACTTTTATCACACAAGATTTGAAATTTTTAATAATACAAGTCTACAGTTAACAAGTCAGAATAAAATTTGGTATTTTTTGATAACTTAACTTGGTAAACACATAGACAAAAGCAAAAATGAAATCATAGGTACTAGCAGGCAAAAAATGTAAAAACCAGTCGTACTTGAATCACATGTTTATTTTTATCTGAATTACTTATATTAATAATTTTTATAGAAAACACTGAATCAATTTATTAGAATTTTCAAACTTATATTTTGAATATCTAAACTATAAGATCAAGTACCTAAGTCAGAGTTTGTTTAGCTCATGATCAGAGCCCCCACCTTAATTTTAGGCATACATTTATTAAGTTATCAAGTCTTGAAATGAATAAAAAAAAATAAAATCCTCTGACTAACCATTGTTTTTGAATATGAAAGAGTACAATATGTGGACGAACAATATGTTTGTCCATCGCACGGGCCATGATGTAAAACTCATAAAACTCGAGCATTGGCAACGTCTATTGCTAAATTATTACCCACCAAGATTCTCGACTAGAAAAATCATGTAGAACACAAATCGTTCGACCCTAAAAGTAAGCCTCAGAGCGACCACCAGAACTTAGTTCCATAAGGACGCTTGATCAGAAGACCATAATTGCGCGTGTTTTAAGAAAGTCCTGATCTGCTCTAGTCCGAGACTAATCAAGTGGAAGCGCGAGGAAATATACTTACTAAGCTGGTATAGGGGCCATGTTGACTACAGGCACTGCTTGACTGGTGGTTTCGCTCTCCTGTTTGACGACCACGTACGAGGAAGATGTAGAGGACGACGAAGACATAACGCACCACCGCCCGGCGGCCTTTATAGCGGCTCAGTGAGAACACGAGTGACGCAAACAAGTTTAGGGATAAAGGACGAAATGTCTGATGAACACTTAAGACCAAACGGGTATTATTGTTTGGTATAGAATAATAGTAACACTACAAAAATGTCGACGGGACGACGCACGTTATCAAGCTGCTCGCTTGGCATTCAAGTGATAACGAATGTTTGGCGGCGTTCGCGAACGGGCGGGAAAAATCCTGTGGGTTCCTCGGGAGGAGAAAAAATCCTCTCAATAAAAAAAATTTTGAAAATAAATTTTAGAAATCCCCTTTTGGTATAATTGATTTTCGCGGTGGTGAGAAAATTTCCCCCTCTTTTAGGTCAACAACCGAATTTAACGAGAAAATCGCGCGCACTCCGACAACTCACTTTCACCTATATTTTTATTACTAAATCAGGCTCAAATATGCTACCCGCATCGTAATTCGTATCATATTTGTAAACATACAGTATCCTATAAATATTTTAAGTAATATTTTATTGTGATCATGCTCTAGTAATCATTTTCCTTAGTCGTCTTTTAACGGTTCAGAAAAACATGAAAGTTGCAGGACCAAATCCAAATGGGCGCACACATCGTTTCGTTTTGACGGAATTATCGGTCTAAATACAAAGAAATGCTACAGAACTTAGACTTTGAAAACCAAATACGAAGTACATACATCATTAAATACAGTTGACTTTTGTATATAAAATAACCATGAGTGATGCATATATGTATATAGGTATATATATGTTATACTTAGTAAATAAAACAGTTTCTACCGATGTTTAGTCTCAATGTAAGACGATTATTAAGCTGCAGTTAATTATCAAAAGGCTTATTGCTGCTGACCGTTTAAATAATGTTTAAGATAACAATACAAGGTAATGATAAAATATTGATGTTTCTTTTTACAAGTATACTCACATTTTGTGCAAATACCAAGAAAATTCGAGTTGTTTTGTCAATAATTTCAAAGTAATTAACTTGAATTGTAAAACTTCACAATAATTGACTTAAAAGTTCAAACGATCGAAAAAAAAATTTTGAATAATAAATAGTAATAAAATTTAACTTCTATATTCCCACTCAGTATTTCAGAAAAGCGCGGTAAAATCCACGAGCGCGCATAAACAATTTACCTACTGAAGTATGAATCGATTCGTTGAATAATATGTTTTTGAGGTTAACCCCTTATCACGCAATTTTATCATTATTAATGTTATCTAGTATCCTGAACATTTTATTATCTAGTATCTACCGACTACTATACAATTTATTATCAAACGATATTGATATAACAATAATTATTATTATTTGTTTTTACTTTTTGTAATTTAATATTTATTATTTATTGTAGTTATTCGTTTGCTTGAAAACGCTTTAGCTTTCATGATTTACTTTTCTAAAAATAACTAGTATCAATACCAATAGGCAATATTTATTTCAATCGTTTCACGGTCACTGTAAAATGTTCACAAAAAAAAGGGAACGGTGTTGTAGATTTTGCTTTACAGACCTTTGGCTCGAGCATACTTTCATCAAGTGTGCGGCTTCTGTCTGTACTGAGTTAGGAATTTGTCTTTGCCTTCAATGTTTTGCAGCTGGTACTGGAGATTGCGTTCATAAGAACACCGATCCTTATCAAGTTCTGTGTAATGCCATCGAAATTAATGACCACTTGTGGGCAGCTCATGAAGAAATCACATTACTTGATACGTTCATGAATACCATGTCATGGGAAAAAGTTGCTATAAAACTAGGAAGAACACCTAAAGAATGTGAATGCCATTATTTTGAGAATTATGTATTTGATCCAAAAATTAAAGGTTTAGAAGATGTGAACAAAAATGCATTTAAATTTGATAGATTTGATGAAGTGAATACAAATGAAACCAAAGTGTTGGGCAATACACTGGATTCAGAAGGTATTTATTTATTTTTAAATCAAGTTATTTGATACATAGCAATTAAAATTAATTTTATAGTTTTTGTCCATAAACCATTTTTTAATAAACTCAAGTACCCATTGATTTTTCATCATTAATTGCATAACTCCAATTAAACTTAAATTGTATTTTTTAGAATCATATCATCAATATGAATTAGCTATTCGTTTAGCTGGCTATCAACCAGCACGCGGATCATTTGAAGAAGAATATGATAATCAAGCTGAATGTATTTTGCAATTATTGAATGAACCGTTATGGATTGATCAGACGTCTAAAACTATTTTAGAATCAAATGTATTATACCAACAGCTGAATACAACCATTTTAGACATTTTTTATGAGAGGCTGAATGAACGATATAGAAGAAGACAAATTATTAAAGACTATGGACTTATTGCATTCAATAAACATCAACTATGGATTAAATCTTTAGAGGTATAGATAATTTTAGAAATAGATATTTTATTTTTTCTCAAATTTTTTTTAATAAAATCTAACTTAATTTTAGATAATATTGGGTCCAGAAATGATGCAAAAGTTAATTCGTTATTTACACCTTATAAAACCATTAGCTTTTGATTTCCTTGTTACTAATCTTACACAAGAACATGAATTATTATCAAAAATTCATAAGCTTATTGAGTATCGTAAAAACGGTTTAACTAGGATGGCTCAAATTAATATTTATAAAGAATTAAGTGCCAAAAGAGAAAAATATTTAAAAATAAGGCCATTAGGATCATCAACATTCAGAATTATTGAAAGCTCAAAGCCTCGTATGAATGTTTGTAATCTTCCAGGTTTCCAAAAACTTGATTATGACGAGAGAGAACTTTGTGCACAGATTAAAATGCTACCTGAATCATATTTAAAATTTAAAGAATTACTTATTAATGAGTGTGAAAAATCAAAAGGTATAATTTTAAAAACTGCAAGAAGTTTGGTTAAAATTGATGTTAACAAAACAAGGAAAATTTACAACTTATTAATGAGTAAAAATATTATATGGCAACATTCCCAAGACTGATTATACTATATTTATACTAATTTATATTTTTGTATATTATTATTATATTTGACTATTTGTGATGAGCTAAGTTTTAAGTTATTGTTTAAATAAATGTTATAAATAAAGTTAATACTAACTTATCATTTTATAATTCTAATTCTTTTATTTTATGTAAAATTAATGTATAACAAATTGTAAACTTTATTTTTATACATTTAAATTAAAAATAGACTATTAAAACTAAATATAAACAATATTCATTGTTTTTTAGTTTCTTAATTTACTAAAAAATCAAATTGTTTCAAGACCTTTTTATAGATACAGTTATTAAAAATAAGTAATAACTTATCCGTAATATATTGATTACTAGTTAACAACAAGAGCACGTAGTACTTTTTTGCTTCTGACTTCCAAAACAGTTATCTAATGCCTTTAAATATACACAAATATTATAAAATCAAGTTTTTTTTACTTAAGTCAAATTCCCATTCATATACTTTTTAAATAACTGCTGAGCTTGAAAGTAGTTGCACATTTTAAAACTGGGATAAATGGATTCCTATGTAGATTGTAATCAGTATTTATAGTAATAACTATAAGACACTTCATAAATCATAATCATCTTTATAAAATAAATCTTGCATTCTTCAACAACACCTTTAGGCTTTTATTATACAAAGTAAAATTTAAAATTTATTTTACATTTTTTTTCTTTTTTGGTATTACATTTTGTAAAGTACAGTTATAACAATCAATATTCAACAATCATTAAAGGTAATAAATATTACTACATATCAAGATGGAACATTTTTTCTGAACAATTACTTAAATAACAAATATAACCAAAAAATAAATATAATGTGCTAAATAATAAAATTAACAAACTATATTCTATTTTTTAAAGTAATTTAAAGATCAATGGCTCATACACCATCAGATAATTACAAGAGTTTAAAAACAAAGTTAGCTAAATATTTATTTTTTGGTTAATTTTGAACATGTTATCTATAATTAGTTATCAAAAATATACACTAATATTCCGATTTTGTATAGTATATATAAATCAGTTCCCACATATATAAAATGTACATATGCAAACACCAGTAATAAATAATAAATATATATATAATTATATTTATATAATTTTAAAAATTTTATGTTTTACCATTTAAATTCAGTTCTGTGGTTGTTCGCTTGGATTGTTGCCAAATACTTTAAGTTCATTTCTCAATACTTTGCCAGATGGATTACGTGGAATCATATCCAAAAACTTTACACCTCCAGCTAATTTTTTGTATGCTACTACATTCTTCTCAACGTGACTTAATATGGTTTTTTCATCAATATCCATACCTGGTCGTTTTACAACAAAAGCTCTAGGTATTTCTCCGGACAGCACATCTGGTATACCTACTACTGCCACATCAGCGACACCCTTTAATTGCGAAATCAAATTTTCTAATTCGGTTGGTGATACCTTAATAAAAACAAAAAAGAAATGTGTCATTTTAATTTGAACTATATAACAAGTAATAAATATACAATTTTCAAATAGTTTTATTTTCATTCATAAAATAGGTACTTATTATTATAAATATTACCAAAGAAATATAATTCCATAATATTCAATATCTACTAGTAATTATTAACCTAATTTAAATGTAATGCTTACCTAGGCTCAAAATTTTATTTGTATAGAAAAAATTGCCTACTTGAAAATTTAAATATTTTATTAATAACAATATAATTAAAAAGTATAGCTAAATATTTTTGAAAAAGAATAGGTACTCTAAAGTAACTTGCCCCTCAAAAAATTCAATCTCTAACCTAGGTAATATGAATACCTTGTATACATCCTACTCCTACAGGATACACACATCTCAATCATCTTATACAAGTAGGTTTAAGATTATAAATTGGTGTTAGACTTATGCTAATCTTTTAAATAATAAACCATTTTTAAATAAATAAAATGTTGTAACTTTTCCATTTTTATTAGGTCTTTACAATTTGAATTGTTTACATAGTTTAGTAACGCGATATGAAAATGAGGTCGCGTATTAAATATTTGAATACCTGGTGGTATCTTATTTTAAATTATAAGAGGAATTTAAAGTCCAAAAGTACGAATTTTTATGAATCTATGATAATTATTTTGTCGCAATATTACCAAATACATAGAACTTATTTAACGTATGAATTGTCATCATTATACACAAATATTAAACGAAAGCATAGGTATTTGGCAAATCTTACGAATTCAAAAAGATTATAAAAACATAAAAGTATAAAAGGCTAATGAAATATACTTTAATGAAGGCATCATAATGTAAATTGTGTATGAATCAAAATATAAATGTATATAAATCAAAATTGTGAGGCGCAAAAATAATTCAAACAGAAATAATTCAAATTCAAACCGCGCGTCAAGTTAGCACCACGCACTCGACGCACTCAACACTCAACAATTCAACATCTATAATATACATTGTTATTTAATATTTGTTACAGCTGTGACTAAATTACAGTGGTAAGTTTTCAACTTGGTTCTGCGCATGTGTGTTACGTCATACCGTCTTTTCGCTGTAAAACGCTGAAAGATTTACGTCATAATTCTAAAATTTAATAATAAAAAAAAACAATATCGACGCCGACTGTACGATATTTTATTCAAATTAAAACCGTACCAGTGTGTATTTAGCATTTTAACCGTGGCTATTAATTGTTGTTATTTGTTTTTTTATCGAGAAATCATAGTTCGACACTGTTGAATTGACACTCGACTCGACACTGTTCCATGACACGGGCGCGTGCGCGCTACGCCAGTTGTGCAGTTTCCTTATCTGTTTTCGTTTCGACTTCCGAGCATTTCTATAGTACTAGCGGACGGCGGCTGAATTGTTGTTTACGGTTTTTTTATTGTTACATTTAAATAATAACATTTATACGTTATTATTATTATTATTATTATTGCTTAGCGTTCGCTTTGTGTTTCGAGTTTTTGTATGGTACATCAACAAACAATCGGACCTACGTGATACGGAAATAAAAAGAGAGGACGGACACGCACAAGTTGGTATCCTACGCTTAATGTTACTACCATCCGGTGTTCGCACTTTGCAATGATTGAGAACGCTGAATTGGTCATGCAAATGCTGGAGATGTACCAGATGTACAAACAACAGGTTCCTGTGGAACTTGAAGAGTACTTAAGGTATGTCGCCAAGACCGGCAACACACTATTTCAGTGGACGTTGGTCAAGCCATTCATCCGTGAAAAGATAATGAACGTCATTGCTGAGTTTGCAGAACAGTCTGCGCTGTCTGATATACCACCATACCCAAATGTTGACCCTTTCAACTACGAGGCCATGAAGACTATGTTGTTGGAACGTTTTGATACTTTCAACGGTCCTCCATTTACTATACAAAGGCTTTGCGAACTGTTGTCTTGTCCAAGAAAGGAATACAATCGTGTAGACAAGTTTATGCGCGCCGTGGAAAAAAATATATTGGTCGTCAGTACTTGCGAGTTGAGACCTAAGCGAGAAGAGCCCATTGTCAATGGTGTCCCAGACCGATGGGAAAATGGAAAAGAGTCCGATATCAATATGGACTTGGTTGATAAAAATAATGTTATTGCAGACGTAAGTGTCTTAAATGGTAATGATACAGTTGAAAGTCTTTTGAATGAACTGGAATCTATGAAAACACCTGAAACTAAGTTGGACGAATCAAAGACAGAACACAAAGATCATCTTGCTGCTCAAGTTACTGATGAAGTAGAATCTAATATTACACCTGACGAACCTAAACAAGATACTCCAATACTAATCACTCAAGATATACCTCAGACACAGATTACAGACTCGACAGAAGCTGTAGAACCAGTTGATATTGATGTCTCACAAAATGTTGCTGTTGAAAATGAATCTATAGTTGACCAACCAAAAGAGCTAAGCTCTAAAGTCTCTGAAATTCAACCTGTTGAAGTAAAAGAACAAATTGTAAATGAACCTGTTGATGAACTTAAGGATTTATCCCATGATATAGAGCTTGAAATTGTCAAACCGAAAACTGAAGAACCAATTGTAGAAAGTAATAAATTGGATAACTTGGAATTAATACCAACAGATGTAGATCGAGTAGAAGGTTCAATTATTCATCAAACTCCAGATGCTGATAATAAAGTAGAACTAGAATTAGAGGTTTCACAACCAGCAGTCGTATTGGAAAAACCAGACAAAGATCCTGAATGTATGGACGTACAAGTTGAAGACATATCCAAAAGTATGGAATCAGAAGTAATTTTTGATAATGTACAAGAGGAATGTACAAAACCTACAGAAATTCATAATGATAAACAACACGCTGATGAATCTACTGTTGATGTACCTACTACAGACTCAATTTCTACAGATATGGAGGTAGAATTAGAGAAGACAGAAAATGACATTATTCTTGATGTCATACCACAAGAAAATGTTAAAGAAAATGAAGACACCTCAACATCAGAGCCTAATACAACTGTTGAAGAACCTCAGATACAGGATGAAAATAAATTGACTGAAAGTGAATAGTCTTAGTAAATATTAGACCTAAACAAATATTATATACATTGACTGGTTAGGTTAATAATAATGAAATTTTATCAATTAGGTAAAAGTTATGTAAAATTTAATGTTTATATGTACCTACGTGATAAATTCAGAATAAGTTATTTCATTTACTGTACAAAATTATTTGCAAATATTGCTATTTTGATTTAATCAATAATCAATAATCATTTTTTTCATATATAATTTTAAATGAATAAAAATGTAGTACATTTTGAACAAAGCATTTTTATTTTTATTGAATAAAATTATTTCTACTAATCAATTTTATTGAAATATTAAAAATAATGTGTATTTTAACTATTTTTAGTTCAATACATTATTAGTTCATAGGTGTACATATTTATTTATTTTTTTTTTTTCTTAAACAGACGTTTATTTCATATTATTTTAATGAGAATTTTAATTATATCGGAGAAAATACTAGTTCAAAATTATACTTATTTGTTAATTAAGTAAAAAGTATAAACATTTATAATAAAACTGACTAAAAAATGTTATTCCTATTTTAATGCATTGTGTATCAAGTCCACTTTATTTTTAAATGTATTAATAATTAATGGTTTATATTTTGATAAAAAAATTGCATTCATGACTAAATTATCTAGTTAGTATCATATTTAATATTCTGTACTATTCCTTGTGTTTGAATGACAAAATAATTTTTGCTTGAATTTTCTATAATCATAAAAAATTTTCCATTTAAAGTACAATAAATTATATTTATACTTGTACATTATCAATTATCGTTCCCTTTATGAACAGTTAAATCGTTATTAAATGTATTTAAATAAATTATTTATAATTTATAAGACAAAAATTTGAGTGTTTTCATTATTTGTTTTAAAAAGTTGGGCATTCTTTTTCAAGTGTACAAGAAAATAAAATCTTCATCATAATTTAACATATTACTATTTATTTTTTTTTACTTAGTTATTTTACATTAATAAATATTTAATTGTTAAATTGTACGTAAATAAAAGCAAAAAACCTTTAGCAAAAATTATAAATGTATATGTAATTTATGCATACAAACAAGCTTACTGGTTAAAAGTTAACAGATCTTAACAATAATTGTAAAAATTCCCATTATTCTTCTATAATAATTGGTAAGTAAATAAAATCAATTAAATATATTGATTTTAAATTGTATTAAATAAGTGTATTTGATTATTATTCCTCTATCGTTAATTACAATTACAATACCACATTCAATATGCCTTGACTTTAATTATTTTCTCTTCAAATAACTATAAAATTATTTATGCAATATATGACCAAAACGAATTATCATTAAGGTTGGTTGTTAAATAAATTTACTAGGGTTATAAAACAGTTGAAAGAAATTGAATATCTACATATATTTTCAAGTTATTAATTGAATAGGGTCATACATGGACTCTCTAATCTATACAAAATGTAAATAATAATAAAAAAAAAAGTATAAAAGGTATATTTTTATTGGTTAATACTTAATGTTTAAAAATAATATTTTGTATAACAAAATAAAGCAGTTGTTATCGTATACTAAATAATACCTATAAAGTAGTTATATTTTCTTCATTAAAAGAAAATGGTATTCCCATTGATAGGTTAATAGATAGCTAGATATTAATTATCTTAATTTGTCGTTAGTATTTACTTAATACGATTTTAATTATAATTTTTAAGTAATAAATAGAATGTAGTAAATTATTATTAATTTAATGACTATCAACAATAGTTTGAATTAGCCATTAGGTATAACTTTTAGTATTTATTATGATACAATTTTTTTACTTAAGTATTTGTACCTAATACCAATAACATCAAAAATGATAACATTTTAATAATAAAATTAATTTATATCATTATTGATTATATAACATGATACAGTTATTAAATAGTAAGTAGATACATTAAAAGAGTTTTAAGAAATATCTAATTACTATTAATAACCTTTTTAACTTAACATTAACAATAAGAACTGTTATAACAACTATTAAATTTATCAAGTATAGTTATTAATATCAAGTCAAGTGCAAGAAAGGTGTATTATTTCAAAATAATTTCAGTAAGGAATATATCTATTACCTATGTCTATATTAATATTATAACTATTTCAATTTTCAACCAATTAAACTGTAAATAAAACGCTAAAAATAAAAAAACTACACTTTTAGTTCATAATAGTATCCTTAATTTATACATTTTTTAAAAATAAACCTGATAATAAGAATGAGTTTGTTTGATAAATGAAAAAAGGTGCTAGAACTTGGTGATCAAACTCATCGCTCAGTACTAAATTACATACTTCAATTATGTATTTATACGAAGTAAAGTTGTTCAAAGAAAAAGTTATCTTAGTATATAGACTTCAAGGAAGTATTTTTAGTTTATTAAAAATATATTAAGAAAAAAAGAATTGAGTAATTCTGTACTTAGTAAGTAGGTACAAACAAACTTATTTGTTAAAACATTGCATATGTATATTAAATTGATAATTATTATACTATACTTGATTATTATGAACTTACGAGTATAAATCAGGATTGTACTACTGTATTACTGTAGAATGGTATGAAAAAGTTCATTTGGACAAATAGAAAAATTTACTAGTTTTAATATTATGTAATTTCAAAAAATACTTAAATTTTATTAGAACATAATACCTAGGTAAGTACCTAATATAAATACGTACCTAAGGTTAAATATTTAAAACTCTTACGACTTATATTTTTTGAATTATAAATTGTTGATAACAAAAATGGTCATTTTTTATTACAATATTCAATTTTTCAATATTTTTCAATATTTTTAGAATGTCGTAAGACAGTTTAATAAAAAACTTTGTACTAAATTGTCAAGTTTTAGCAATTTATAGGTCTACCTATATTATTAATAAAATCAAAAATATTATGTATTTTTAACTACGAAATAATTTTTAAATTTTCTTGATTTTGACTAATAGGTATCTGCGTATAATTGTGTAGCAGTTAACGATTGAAGTTTTATTACTGCTCAAAAAGGTTATGACAGACCAAAAAAAAACAACACACACAAACTCAATCTTAATACGAATCTAAAATCTCAATATCCAAGTCCGAGTTAGTAGTTTCCAGAAAAATATAAAAATTGACTTTAATAATAACTATGAATTTTGAAAAATGTATAAAAAAATCATCCAAAACACCGACAATTGGGTAAATAATTTAAAACTAATATGTACCTATTTATCAAATTTTGAAATGCGGTAAATGTAAACTTATTAGTCTTATTGTATGAGTAATAAATAAATTTTAAAATTAAAATACATTGATTAAATAATACTAATCTTAGGTGTTAGGCGTGTATAAATAATAATCACTTACTTGATTTCCTTTAACTTTTATCAATTCTTTTGTTCTGTCTACAATGTAAAAATATTCATCCTCGTCATAATAAGCAACATCGCCAGTATGTAACCAACCATCTTCGTCCACAGTTTCCTTAGTCGCTTTTTCATTATTAAGATATCCAGCCATCACCTAAAATTGATTTGGGAATTTATCAGTTTCATTATTTTAACTCATGTATAATAAAATTAAATTTACTTGAGGTCCTTTAATCAGTAGTTCTCCAGATTTATGTGGTCCCAAGTCACAGCCATCAGTTAAACTTACCACCCTAGCTTGAGTACTTAGTACAAGTTGTCCTGTACTACCAGTTTTATTTTCAGGCAATATAACTCTTGTGTATAAAGATACTGGAGATGATTCGGTCATTCCATAACCTGAAAATTTTTAATTGAAATAAAATATGTTGGTCTGGTGGGCTGGTCCATCTACCATTACCCAGCGATTACAGGGGCTGTGAGTTTAATTTTTCTACTTAGGGCCCCAACACTACTAAACCAAAAATTAAAAAATATCTTAGTGATTTTATTATTTAGTTTGATATTATTTATTATTTGTATAAATATTAAATAGGTATATTATAAAATTTTCATTGATTTTATTTCAACAAAAAATAATTATATCAACATAATTATCATAACCTTTAACCTTTAAAGGACTACAAAAAAAGCTATAACTTTTGTGAGGGAGTTGATGAATTAATATTTCTTTTTGTAATGCTTTTAACATGATGCTCGTATTTATAGAGAAATTTGATATATATTAACCAAAATTCAATAATAAACATATTATTTGGAATTTTTCTTCTTTATATAGCAGGTATTTATTTATTTTTTGAGAGAGAACGTCTTTGTATTGTTAACAATTAATTTTCAAAAAAATAAGGTACCAAATATACCATTTAGTTTAATCCTTCAATAACTTATACACAATATAAATTATTGTTTAAAAATACAACCGTGTAGTCTGAAGGACATAGGTGGATACTAAATATAGATACTTATAATCACCTGTTTTTATTTACATTAGTGGTAGGAAAAACTAAAATATAAGGTCATCAAACATTTGGCGATCCCTTTGGCCATTGTCTCTTTTTGACTAGCACAGTTTTCTTTAAAATTTATAATTATAGGAACATAATTTGTATTTTTATAATTAATTTTAAATTAATATTAAATCGAGCAAGTATAACAACTCTGGATTATCTTTATTTCTAAAATACCGACTATAAACGATATTAAACTTATATGAAGACTATAGAAAAATAGTAAAATTTGCCAAACAAATATTCTATAGTTATAAAAAATAAAACTTCATCTTAATTATTGATATAGGTACTTATTCATAAAGACATATTTTACTATCATAATTATTATTATGCATAACTATATTCATTATTATTCAACTAATGTAACCGGACATTTTAATTTTTTACATATACTCATGAAAGCAAATTTTTTTCACACAGTTGTATGATTTTGAAAATTAAAAATCTTATTTGTGGATTTGAACATGTTTAATTAAACACAAAAATTAGTCAAGTTCACCTGTAATGAATAAACATTTTTAAAAAAATTGTACTGACTGAAAAGTAAGATCGAATGAAAAGGATGACGTTTTCAACACTAAATTTTGAACCCTAGACATGATTTTTCTTTTTACCTAACTTAAGCTAACCATTTATAATATATTATGCAACGTATAAAATGGTAATAATCTGTTCAGCATTTATAAAAATTAAAAAAAAATTGTGTGCATACAGAGGACCCA